CAACAAAGTTAAGTGATATCAATAAAAGTTCTTAAAAGCTAAAAACTGCAGAGCCTCTGAAATTGCTAAACACATGCCAATAATCACCATTTGGAAACAGTTACACATAATGTAAGAGAACTAATCCTTCAGAGACTATTTTAGGCCAACTGATTGTAAACAAAGCACACAGGGAATAGGAAGTAGTTCAGAGAGGAGTTTGTACAGATGTAAAAAACTGTGACCACCTTCTTAGAATTTAAAACCTACAAAAAGCAATAAATACAAATTCCAAAATCCCAAGCATTCACAATCTGAAATAAAAACCGGAAACTTCATTTTAATTAGCCATTGTTTTGCTCATTGATTATCAGCTCTTTGATATCTGCCATGGCCATAAAAAGCCTAGCACTAAATTATTTTATGTGTGATTAACTGGGTTTTTGAACTACAGCAATTGTAACTATTGCCAATTGTGGCACAAAAACTAAAGTATAAGTTTGCAAATAAAGGTTGATTAAATTTAGAAAGCTAATCAATAGAGAAAAGAGGTTTGGTGGTTCTCTAGGAATAACCCTGACAATAATGAAGGCAAATGCTCAGGCCTGTTCTCCAAATACTGATTTTTCTGTTTGTATTTTACATGTTTTACTAGTGTGTTTCTTTCTGTTTATTCATTAACCAATTTACTGAGCTCTACACCAGTCATTTTTCTAGATGCTAGGTATACAACAGTGAATAATCACCACATAAACACAAAAGTAAAAATCTTGATTTCACGTGCTTACAATTCTGTGTGGACAGACAATTAACAATGTTTAGTATATTGGATCAATAGGATCACGGACCAAGCCATGTAGCTATTTTGGGGAAAGAGCCAGTGGCTCAACTGGAGTGATCCAGTGAAGATTTATGGAGTACATGAGGTTAACAAACACAATGGGAGGCCATTACAAGAACTTGGGCTTGTACTCTGGGTCAAATGAAAAGTTTTGTAATAGTTCTGAGCAGAGGAGTAATACACTCTGACTTACATCACTCTCCCATAACTGAAAATATTTGGAAGAAGGGCACAGGCAAAAGCAGGGAGATCAGTTACAAAGTTTTACCTTCCACATAACAGATGTTGGCACCAGGACCAAAGTAGTAGTGGGCAAAGATGAGGAGAATGATTCTAGATATATTCAGAAGGTACAATTGCTAGGATTTTCTGAAGGAGAAGATAAGTGAGAAAATAAAAAGAAGTTGAGAGAACAGAATTCCTGTCAGATAAGATGAGAAATACTATGGAAAAGGAAAATTCTAGGGGAAAGATGGGGAATATGTATTCTCCCTTGGGACATATTAGGGAAAAAGTCTAGTAGGCAGCTGGATAAGTAACTGGTTAAAACAGCCAAGAAAATGAACATGAAAAAGAAAAGAGAAGAGGTCAAGTACAGAAAGAAATAGAGGTCAAAGACCAAGGTCTGGGATATTCCAATGTTAAGGGGTCAGGGAGGTGAGGAAGAATCAGCAAAGGAATTAAGAAGGAGGACCAGTGAAGCAGGAGGACCACCAGGCCACCAGGTGCCAGAAACCAAGATAATTAAGAAAAAGTCTAAGAACTAGCCAAGGATATTTAGGTACTGAGAGAAATTGGTGACCCTGATCAGAGAAGTTCTGGAAAAAATAGTAGGGAAACCTGACTGAAATGGGTTTTAGAAAGAAGTTTATATCTATTTTTAAGAATAAAGGCATCAAAAATTCAATACTCTTGTACATATCATACATGCTTTGTGATTAACCTCTAACATATTAATAAGACCCAATAACAATAGAAATAAGCATGATCTAGGAAGTTAAACGTCTGAATGCAAATTCTCATTTATTATTAGACGAAATCCAGTGTACTCTCAAAAAGTACTCTCAAAAGGCTGTTGTTGCTACTGTCTTCTAGCCATAATATTATTTTCAAGTTAGTTTTGCGTGGTGCTTTCGGGACTAGTTATCACATTTAAATAGTAAAATGTACAGCTTCACAAACTGAAAATTTTAAGAAGTACTGGGTGGGGAGGGTTTCTAGTCAGTGTTATAAAAAATATCATTTGGCATCTTCTAAACTCTATGGAACTTTTTCGATTTGTAGTTGGAATAGTTGTTAGGTGTAAATGCCTTTTCAAGGCCAAACAGCACTTCAAACGTTTGAGTCCCAAATGCAATTTCTATACCACACTTTATATAACATGAAATGTAAGTCTCCAGACACTGAGCACATCAAGTGAACATCAAAATGTACCAGCAGACACCTTAAGCTTTAAAATGTAAAACAGATGCTGAAAAATAAAGCACTGATAAATCATGGATCTGACTAGAAAAAGAAAAAAAAAAAAAGAAAAATGTAAGACTAATGGCCTGCTGCATAGTATTAACTGCTATTCCTTTCAGATTTACTGCTCCAGAAGCAACTGATATGGAAGCATAAGCAAGATGAACATTAACAAACCTCACGTCCTAAAATTCATCAATTATTTGATGCTTAAGAATATAATCTCATGGGCCATTTTAAAAGGTCAGGTTTTCCCTTTTTTCACTTTATATTTCTGTACCTTCTCCACATACTCATGTGCTGATGCGCAAGGGGAAACTATGAATTTGCAAGAAATATCAGACTTTGGAACAATGTAAATATAAACACATAAGAAGCCAAATGGATAGATTAGAGAATATAATAAAGACAAGAAATCCATACTGGGCTATTAACATCTCTAATGCTAAGTCACTGAGTAACTAATGAAAAACTTTCAATATACTCAATAGTAGCATCCAAATAAACCTGATTCAATTGCTGAAATACTACCTGTCAATTCTTTGAGATAATGGAATGAAACCTGAACTAAAACTAAAGAATAGAACTAAAAGAATAAGAAGCCTTCATTAATGAAATAGTCCATATTAATTCAAAGCAAGCAGCAATCAACAAAAATGCTACAGTGCTATAAATTCAGGCACATTTATTCTTTGATCCCTTCACTAACTCTGTATAACTGTAAGCAAGAAGCTGAGTTTTGTTGGGCCTCAAAACAAATCTATAAAATAGTGGATTTTCTTCCAATTCTAAGCATATAACTCTACAATTTACATCACAAAATAACACTTAAAGAAAACATACTAAATCTTATGTTTGTTTATTTTTTTAAATCTTTTTTAAATGTTTTTATTTATTTTTGAGACAGAAAGAAACACGGCATGAGCAGGGGAGGGGCAGAGAGAGAGGGAGACACAGAATCTGAAGCGGCCTCCAGGCTCTGAGCTGACAGCACAGAGCCCAATGCAGGGCTCGAATTCACAGACCGCGAGATCATGACCTGAGCCAAAGTCAGACGCTCAGCTGACTGAGCCACCCAGGCGCCCCAAAATCTTACGGGTTTAAACAGAAAGGAAGGGAAATGTTAACTTGGAAAGGTAAACCAAAAGTATCTTAAAGGAAAAAGTTTACTTTTATTGTCATTCTATTCCAATTTAGTGAATGAGACTTCTCAATAGAATTTTAGGTTTGTCAGATATACAAACGATTTACCCCAAAGTGTGAAGTTTGGGGAAGTGTTTTGATATTGTGGTAGCAGAGGGGTGATCATATGCTCCTAGAACCAAAAGCCATCATGCTGCTTTAAGAAATGATTCTAAATGAGATTTTCCCAAAACCTAGTTTAACAAAAAAGATTCTTAGAAAACAGACTACTAAGGTTTTCGTTCTACCAAGGTTCAAGACATACACTTGTATTCAAAGTCACAGATACTTGCTAAACAATCCCTGTGTTTTTTACATTAGCCTACTTTGACCAGGAGAGGGGGGAAGCTGAGTTTCAAGGAAATTAACCCATGGTTCCAACCATATTTTCTATCTTAGTCCAGTGTTAAAATCCTTCATATCCTAATATTTTATCAAACATAGTTAACACAGGATTTAAAAAGCAGGCCCATCTAATCACATCAGCCTTGCTATTAAAACAGCTGTTTCTACAAATATGTTTCCAAATCAATTCTGACTTTTAGACCTAATTCTCCTTTTTACCCTAATTTATTTCTACTTTTCCCATTACTCTGTAGTCAAATGAACATCCTTTAAGTAAATGCATTCTTTTGTTTTTCCTCCTCCTTTCATGAAGGAAATATTTATTCCATATCTGACAAGCATCCTTTCTCTTTTGCTTCAAAGACCTATATGAAGAAACTTTTTCACACATGATAAAACTTCTTCTATCTCAGGACCATTTTAGTGGAGAAAACAAGCAATATGAAAGCAACCTCCTTTGAGATTATTACAATAAATACAAGTTTTAACTCAATTTTTCTCTATATCCTGAAGTCAAGTAAAAGCATATGCAAGTACATTATTAGATGGACTTGGAGAATTACATATTTCTTCCCCCACGTATGAACTTTTCATCTTATTGTGCTGCATTCTGAGATAATCTATAGCTTCAAAGACTCTGCAGCACATTAATTAGTTCTCTATCTATAACATACTCCTCTGCTATGTAAGTGTTACTAGTATTTTGCCTAGAGCAAACTCTCTCTAGTGTTTTTTAAAAACATATATTTTTAATGTTTATTTATTTTTGAGAGAGAGAGAAAGAGCGAGCGAACATAAGTGGGGAAGGAGCAAAGAGAGAGGGAGACAAAGAATCCCAGGCAGGCTCTGTGCTGTCCTCACAGAGCCCGATGTGAGGCTTGAACTCAAAAACCCCAAGATCATGACCTGAGCTAAAACCAAGAGTCGGATGCTTAACTGACTAAGCCACCCAGGCACCCCTCTCTCTAGAGTTTTATGCAATGTGTGCATTCATGGGGAGGGTGATGGTTAGATGGTGTGCTTAATGTGCCATCTTGAAACAATCTCAAGAAACTCAATAATAAAATCTTAATAATAATGGTCATTAATGTAAAGCCTTGGTTTTAAACTAAACCAAGACTGGTTTTAAACTAAATACTACAAAAGAACAATGATTCCCAAACTATTTTAAATAATGACTAATACTTACCAGGAAAAGCATCAAAAATAATTCTGTCTCCAGGAACAGACCCAGTAGGAGGTGCCAAGATTTCAACCTTCTCAGGTGAACTAGCACACATTACCATTGCCTGAGATATTACTCCCCTCATCTTTGCAGGTTTCAGGTTACAAAGTAAAATCACCATCCGATTTTGCATCTGTGTGAAACACAAATTAGTGATTAAATATATACAGAGATTACAATAATTACACCTAGAATACACTAAGCTACATCTAATATGCTAAATATAAAATGTTCTGTGTTTGTAGATGTATCTGTCTCTGTGTCCAAAATCTTTTATTGTTGTTATGAAGTCTTACATAAATATGAAAAAAAAAATTCCACAAACTGACAGTGCCCTATAGTTGAAGGAGCAGAGGCAAGACTATTCAGTTAAATAATTTTTAGACTGAGTGAAACAGCTGTGGTTTTGAATGTAGCTGCCATGTACTAGCAATCAGATTGTATAAAGTTGAAATGTTTTTTTCCTCACAAAATGAGGAAAATGATATCCCACTTAAATAGCCCACTCTAGGAGTATATTGTAACATGTATGTAAAACATTTAGCATAGTGTTAGCACTGAAATAAATGAACAATCCTTTTTTCCATACATATTTGGTCATTGCCAATACTATGTCATACTTGGTCATTGCCAAGATTCATGTCCTAATTTAAAAATTACTCTTGGGAAGATCGGAATAGGAGGATCCTGAGCTCACCTAGTCCCACGGACACGCCAATGAAACAACTGCATCTACTGCAACTAACTCTGAAATCGACCTGAAGACTGGCACTTCAGATCATCCACAGCTAGAGAGAAGACAAAATCAAAAAGAATAGGAAGCGTAGAGACACAGTTGGGAACCCTGGCGACTAACCACAAACAGGATGAACGTCACAAAACACAGAGGAGTAAGGGGGTCAGACCCCACACCTAGGGACCCAAACTGGGAAGATGAATCTTCCTAACATCTGGCTTTGAAAAACAGGAGGACTTAACTCTAGAAGCTTTAAAAATCAGCAGGGCTTAACTGGGAAAACCAGAGAGTGACAGTAAACGGAGCCCCCACACTAAAAGAGCCATCACCAGACACAGCACCAAAGCAGCAATTTGAAGTATCTGAGGTATTTGTGAAGATTTATTGACTAATCTTAGGATATGTTAGACAGGCAGAGATCTACCAGAAACATCTCTGGGAAAGAAAGTAGTGCCAGAGGGCATCATTTTTCTTGCTCTCCCCCGCCTAGATGGCCTGAAGTTTGCAGAAGCCAGTGCTATCACTCTCCATCTAACTTACCAGCACCACATGCCCTTGCATTCCCTTGCATACATGCACCACCTAATCCACCCACAACAGGAGGTACCCTTCCAAAGCAGATCCTACCATGTCAAATACAGGAAGCAAGCAGGTCTTAGACCACTCCAAAGTGACTGCAGCCCTGGAAAGAAGGGGAGATAACCCTACACACCAGCACAACCACACTTGCTGCAATGAGGCCTCTTACCAGGCTGTTCAGGGAGCAAGCCTTGCCCTTCATGCACCTGCACCTGTTACAGAGGTTACCTGCAGACGGTTAAGGTGAGTGCTGGCTCCATCTACCAGTAAGCTCACAAGTCTATCAACAGCAATGGAAGTAAACCCTGTCCAGTGTAAGAACAGGTAGCGAAGAGAGTCATTGTAGTCGTAAGCATATCTACAGCCACACCAATCTTGAAAAAGAACAACAAAACTGGAGGTATCATAATCCCAGATTTTAAGATATACTACAAAGCTGCAGTAATCAAAACAGTATGGTACGGCACAAAATAGATACATATAGATCAATGGAACAGAAAAGAGAGCCCAGAAATAAAACTATACTTATATGGTCAATTAATCTACAACGAAGAAGACAAGAATATATAATGGGGAAAAGACAGTCTTTTCAATTTATGGTGCTGGGAATACTTGACAGCCACATGTAAAAGAATGAAACTTGACCACTTTCTTACACCATACACAAAAATACACTCAAAATGATTAACGACCTAACTATGAGACCTGAAACCATAAAACTAGAAGAAAACACAGGCTGTTATTTCTTTGACAAAGGCCACAGAAACATTTTTCTAGGTATGTCTCCTCAGTCAAGGGAAACAAAAGCAAAATTAAACTATTGCGACTACAAAAGCTTTTGTACAACAAAGGAAATCATCATCAAAACAAAAAGGCAACCCACTGAATGAGAGAGACATTTGCAAATGATTCTTCCCATAGGGGGTTAATATCCAAAATATATAAAGAACTTATACAATTCAACATCAAAAAAGCCACAAACAATGCAATTAAAAATGGACAGAGGGCCTGAGTAGATATTTTTCCACAGACAGACAGATGGCCAACAGATATACAAAAAAATACTCAACATCACTATTCATCAGGTAAATGTAAATCAAAACCACAATGAGATATCACTTCACAACAGGCAGAATTGCTAGTATTAAAAAGCCAAGAAATAAGTGCTGGCAAGGATATGGAGAAAAAAAATTCTCATGCAGTGTTGGTGGAATGTAAATCAGTGCAACCACTAGAGAAAAGGTTTGGACGTTCCTCAAAAAATTGAAAATAGAAATACCATATGATACAGTAATTCCACCACTGGGCACTTACCCAAATAAAATGAAAACCCAAATTCAAAAAGATACACACCTTTACATTTACTGCAGGATTATTTCTTTTTATAAATTTTTTTTTTCAACGTTTATTTATTTTTGGGACAGAGAGAGACAGAGCATGAACGGGGGAGGAGCAGAGAGAGAGGGAGACACAGAATCGGAAACAGGCTCCAGGCTCTGAGCCATCAGCCCAGAGCCTGATGCGGGGCTCGAACTCACGGACCGCGAGATTGTGACCTGGCTGAAGTCGGACGCTTAACCGACTGTGCCACCCAGGCGCCCCATTGCAGGATTATTTCTAATAGCCAAGATATGGAAGCAACCCTAGGGTCCACAGATAGATGAATGGATAAACATGTATACATACATATGTGTATGTGTGTGTATATACATATAGAAATATACATAATGTGGAATACTCATAGAGTGGAACATTACTCGGCCACAAAAAGAATGAAATCTTGCCATTTGAGACAACATGGATGGAATTAGAGGGTATGATGTAAAGTGAAAGAAATCAAACAGAGAAATACAAATACCAAATGATTTCACTTATATGTAGAATCTAAAACACAAAAGAAATAAACAAACAACAGACCCTTAAATACAGAGAACAAATTTGTGGCTGTCAGGAGGGAAGTGGATAGGAGAGTGGGTGGGAGGATGGGCAAAATAAGTATAGGGGATTAAGAGGTACAAACTTTCAGTTATAAAATAAATAAGTGATGGAGATGAAAAGTACAGTATAGGGAATATAATCAATAATATTTTAGTAACTTTGCATGGTGACTACCCTTATTGTGGTGAGCACTGAGTAATGAATAGAAATGTTAAATCACTGAAACAATTGTACACCTGAAATTAACATAACATTGCAAGTCAACTATACTTCAAAAACAAATATCAAAAGTATTATGTACACTGCATATAACATTTAGGCCATTTCTACAATTTGTCATAGAAGTGAACAGAAATTTCTTTAATCTTCACAAGTTGAAGTGTCTTAACTTTTTCCCCATTTAGAAAAACCAAGGAACACAGTTGTTTATGTTCTTTCAACAAGCTTAAAATAGCATACAAGAGAATTATTACAGCAGAGGAAGAGAAAAGGCACATTCTAAATAAAAAAAGATGGTTTGCGGGTGCCTGGGTGGCTCAATTGGTCAAGTGTCCAACTCCTGATTTCGGCTCAGGTCATGATCTTACGGTTCTTGGGTTTGAACCCCAATCAGGCTCTGCACTGACAGCACAAAGCCTGCTTGGCACTCTCTCTCTCTCTCTCTCTCTCTCTCTCTCAGCCCCTCTCCCACACACTAGTGCGTGCTCTCTCAAAATAAAGAAACATTAAACAATAAATAAATAAATAAATAAATAAATAAATAATGCTTTTATAAATTAATGTTATGGGAAATTTACCCCCAAATCCTATGATTAAAAAATAATAAATAAAAATCGTAACAGGCCTAAGACTCAAATTCAAAAGGCCCCCTTTTCAGAGGTCTTCATGAGTAAGACTCTTCTTCATATACATAATTTGAAAATGCCACATGTTAGAAAAGAAGTTATAGAATATATGTATAAGAAAAAAGAACAGGGTTGTCTAGATGCAACTGTTAAAGCATCAGATGATACCCATGGACCTTTACATTAGAAAAACACACAAATCTACAAAGTTTAGTATGCAATTTGGGGGCAAAGTGCTTCTGCTTTATACAATATTTACTGCTACTGTCTTGACAGGTTAGATACAGATGTGTATATAAACAGCTTTGTTTAAGGCTATGGCTGACAGTTGTAGGAAGAGAAGAAATTGTCTGCAACTTGTGGGAACAAAAAAGATGAAACCCAATGTAGGAGGAGATTTTCCAATTTGAGCTGGCTCAAGATCAATTGGTTCTTTTCTCCAGAGCTTCTTATGAACCTAACACCATAAGCAGTTATAAAGAAGTCCTGGTCCTAGAAAAGAGGAGTGTTAAAAAGAGGGAACAAAAGCATACACAGGAACCAAGTCTTTTTTTAAAGAGAAACTTTCACTAAACTGCTTATATCTGTTTTTCTCACCTGAACAGAACAGCCAGATGATCCTATTAATTTATGAGGTAGGCCATGTTTCTCCTTGGTTCAACAGGTCTCCAATGGCTTTCACCTCATTCAGAATATAAGTCAAAGTCTATACAATGATCTGTAAGATCTTAGGTCATCTGGCATCCCTCTCTCTGATTTCATACTGCATGGTATTCCCCCTTATTTACTCTGCTGTAGTGACACTGCTTCCTGCTGTTCTTGCAACATGCCAGGCACACATCTGACTTACAACTGCCTGAAATGCTCTTCTACCAGACAGACATACGACTTTTCTTCACTTTCTCAGACCTTTACTTAAATGTCTCTTTGTGATGCCTTCCCAGGCTACTTTATATAAAATTACATAATTCTAACTTCAACTCATAGACTCTTTCCCTACTTTATTTTTCTTTTAATACTTACCACTATTCAATATACTCTATATGTTGATTTTTCTCACTACCCCATAGGGTTGTGAGCTTCACAAAGGCAGGTTTTTGGTTTTTGTTTTCTAAACAAATCTACCTACCTACCTACCTACCTACCTACCTACCTACCTACCAGTCATCCTAATGCACTGCTATATCCCTTATCTAGAATAGTGCCTGGAAGTATCTGGAAGTATGAATGAATGAATGTAGGGATTTATTCAAAATCGCAAAGTGAATAAGCAACAGAGTTGGCAATGAACAGAGAAGAACTATTTTAATGTTAAATGTCTACAGCCTTTGCAGTATCTCCGAAGCACCATGGGGCAAAGGAAATAGGCAGATGACTCAAATTACTATAGATGTCTTGAAAGACCAAATTAAAACCATTACTGCCTGTAAGTTTTTCCACTGTCATTGGAAATACACACGTCTATACACACACACGCACACACACATACACATATTTTAAAGACCTAAGTAATAACAAAATATAAAACATCCAGTTTTTAAGAAACAAAAAAATCCATTAAAAATTTTAAGTTCAAGCTCCATTAGCCCCTCTCCTCTTTTTTTCTTCAAGTATGAAAATATTTCTTGAGTTATATAAAAAAAAAAAAAGATTCATTCTTACCCTTACTTTTTAGATTGATGCTTTCTGGGTTTACATAACAGTGATTTAAAAAAATCAAGGAATAATAAAATTCCATGACAGAACAATGATGATAAAGATATTTATACTATATTACATATAAAACACTAAACTAAAAACATTTTAAAAACTGAGAAAAAATAATGCATCTTTTTTTTTTTTAAATGTTTATTTATCTGAGAGAGAGATTTATAGCATAAGCAGGGGAGGAGCAGAGAAAGAGGGAGAAGGAGAATCTCAAGCAGGCTCCACAGTCAGCCCAGAGCTGGACATGGGGCTCAAACTCACGAGCTGTAAGATCATGACCTGAGCTGAAATCAAGAGTCGGATGCTTAACCAACTGAGCCACCCAGATGCCCCATCTTCTTTCTTTCTATCCTCATGAATTTGATCTTAATTTGCAACTCTTTTGCAGGTTTTTGGTACTTTTATTCACTTTTTTTGGTGAAATTTATTTTATTAAAAATTAATCAAATGATCCAGTCAATACTGGCTCATGTGGTATGGCCACCTTATACAAAATTATATGGAAGAACATCAAGAAAAAGTGACGTGTGTATGCAGAAGTAATTTTAATTGTACAGATTACCTGTTCAAGAGGAACATGATTCACCAGGCCACTGACAACTGTTCTTGGGGCTGTTTCTCCAACATCTATTTCTTCTACATATAAAGAATCTGCATCAGGATGTTTTCTGGCAGTAATGATACAACCAACTCGAAGATCCAGACGAGAAACATCTATTGGCTTAGAGTCAGCACTTCCTGCTATTGATTGTTTTTTCTCCTTTTTCTCTAAAAAATATTTTTGAATAGTTAAACATCAGAAGTAAAACAAAAGTAAACTATGAAAAACTCATTAGCTTCAATACTGATGAGCTTCAAAAGAAAAAGAGTGTTTATCTCCTACCTTCACTTAAATAGTAACAAAGAATTATTCGAGTCCTAATTTCCTGAACCCTAATTTAGCTATTTCTCTCTTAAATAACTGCCTAAATCTCTAAAGACATAGAATAGAAGCTGGTAAACCATGTTCATTTATTTACATAATGTCTATGGATGCCTTTGCAGTATAGCACAGTTGAGTAGTTATGATGACTTTTTGGTCTGCAAAGCTTAAGATATTAAACGGACTTTTATTGAGAAAATTTGCCTTTCCCTGAAACAGAGTTGGAGAAAATCCTTTAAAATTTTTACTGTGACTCTTTAGAAAGTGAAAAATCCTTTATTTAGGAAGAACATCACAATTAGTAGCCAGCTAAGAGAATGAACTATATAATCAAGTATAATTTCACTGATAAAATGTTTCTCTCTTTAAACACACCAATAACTATACAATGAATTTCATCATTTCTTGTATTTCTCTGAACACTTAGGGTTTTAGGTTTATCTGAGCGACTATGGAGAAGGGAACATTTTATTCTAATGTTTTAAAAATACTCCTCTTATTTATGTTGAAAATCTAACTCTTATTAGCATTTTGATCACTTTGATCACTGAATCAAAATGTGACCTATGAAGAATTCATATTCCTTAAGTTTACATTTAGCTTCTCTGGCAGAAAAAAAAGTAAAACAAAATAAAAACTTATTCACCTGCAACCTACAGGGTAGAGATAAATAGTTGTGACTTAGAAGCACTCCTTCTCGATTATACCTTTGTTTAATCTTTGAACAAATATTTACTGAGATCCAAGGCACTGAAAATCTCTTTTAAGGAAGACAGATACATATAATGAATATGTGACAAACATTACATACACAAAGATATACTACAGAAATGCAGAGATAAATAATTCTGCCTAAAGTGGGAAAGAATGATTTTGTGTAAGGACATTCACAATTTATACAAAGAGAGATTACAAAAGAAGAGGTAATTCAAAATAATGAACAATGTTTAATCTTACTAGCAAAAGCTAGTAAAAATCCAAGTGATATAGAATATACAACAAAATTACTAGGAAACAATACACCAAAAATCTTAGTTACCTTTGAGTGATAATCTATATATTTAATATAATGCAGTATAACAGTATATCTACATATCTACATTTTTAACTTTAATCTACTCCCTAGGCATTTGCAATACTTTTATCAGGAATCCATAGTCCAGAGGTGACTGCAAACGTCAAAATCTATACCAAGAGCTTAGTCATCATAAAAGATTTTAGACATGTTTCGTTAAAAGATAAGCGATGCTCACATGTGGCAGGCTACAAAGACTGTATTGTAACCATAGCCTCTGCATGGGCAGAAATGGATTCTGGCAATTCTAGCAGCCAAGCACCAATGGAACACCCCACTATCCCAGCACTGCCCAATATGGTAGCTGCCAACCACACATAGCTATTTACATTTAAATTTAAAATAATAAAAAACTCTGTTCCTTAGTCACACCAGACACATTTAAAATGTTCAACAGCCATCACTGGTTATTAGCTACTGTGTTGGATTATGAAGCCATACAGTATCTCCATCACTACAGACAGTACCACTGGACACAGGCATTCTAGACATAGAGCTCCATTTGGTCTTGTGTACTTCCTCCTCCCACAAAGGAAGACTCTTGTCTCATTTGACTAGAAGATTAACTAATCCTGCAGTCACAAAAATACAACGTATCTTATTTTGGGTATGAACTTCATCATACTTAGAACAGGCTGATTGCTTTGTGCCTACATCTGAATGAATTTTATAAAGTGAAAGAATTAGTTTGAGTTGCTTTCACTATAACCATACCACCCAGTGGTGAAGTTATGTAGAAGATGTACAGCTCCTATCTACTTCTAAGAAAGGTTACTGATGTTTACCAAAAGGAACTGGTAAGTGTTAGATGCTAAATTGGCTTAGGTTAGTTCACAAATTCCTCAGCCATATTTTCCAAAAAATCTTAAGTGGTTACAAGTGTTATGAGAGGTATGAATAATGAATTATAAAAGCACTTTTTTTAGACATACCTAGAAAAATGAAATCTACAAAGGAGTAAAGGAGACGAGGTCAAAAGAGTCAGATTTATGAGAATAGCTTCAAGCAATAAGGTTAAGGATAAATTAGAAAAGACTAAAAAGCTAACTTTCTACCTGTGACTTCTCTGAAACTGAAATATACACTAAAATTTAGTCACATCAAACCACATATGGACCTTTACACTTAATATCTACTTTCTATGTTTAGTTATGTTAAAACATACTCTACCTCAAATAACACACTCCTACCCTGTCAACCTGGTCAATCTTCACATATTCCTTTAGAGCTCAGTTTCTATATTCCAATATCATACTGTTCCTTATTTTATTCTAGTTCATAAAGGTTTCAACTTTCTTTTGACACCACTATTAATATCGAAAATGTTGACATCTGATAAACCAGTCAAGAGCCAAGTAACCTTGAAGTTTAACAATACCTTTCATTTCAATTTTCTCTTTCATCTTTTCTTCTGCTCTTCCTCCTGTTATCTGTTCTTTGGCACCAGAAGATACAGTTGTCATTGGTATAGACTGTATCACTTTTTCGGAAACTGTGGAATTAGCTTGCAGTGGAGTACCAGATGGGAATGGTATTTGTTTCACTGACACAGAAAATGAAATAAAGTCATTATGAACTCTTTTTAAAAGAAAATTTCACTGTATATGATTATCAAATCTCTACTCTCTGAGACTGTAAAAAGGCTGCCAAAAAATTAATAATATTTTAAACATGATAAAAGTTAAAAGATCCTCATTTAATCACTAATGACTCAACTGAGACAATTGCACACAATAATAATGACTAATATTTATCATGTATTATGTCCTAGACACTTTTCAAAATGATTTATATAAATTAACTCTTGTATTTCTAATACCCTAAAAGCAGTACGTTTTCTGTTGTTGTTGTTTTTTAGAGAAAGAGAACAGAAACAAGGGAAAGGGGGAGAGAGAAAGAGACAGAGACAAAGAATCTTATGCAAGTTCTATGCTCAGTGCAAAGCCCAAAATGGAGCTCAATCCCATGACCCTGGAATCATGACCTGAGCCGAAATCAAGAGTTAAGACACTCAAGCGATTGAGCCACCGAGGCACCTCTAAAAGCAGTAACTTCTATTCACATCCCCATTTACAGATGATCAACATGAGCAATACAGAAGTTAAAAACTTGGCCCATCACACACAGAATTGGTAGGAAAATAAATTTATACTGAGGCAGTCTGTCTCCAGAGACTAGCCTCTCATGGTTTGGCAAGATGGCATGTTTTTCACTCAGGTTTTCTTTTATAATGAACAATTAACAGGAAAGTGTTTTAATAATAGTCATTTCTTTATCAGCATTAATGGAGATGCAAGTCCATAATTCTATTTCAAAAAACTTTTTAAGGAAGAAAATTCCTTCAGCAATGTTAAAAACACTCTCATGGCCTAGTGAATATGGAAAAACAAAATCTTGTGAGGGATTTTGATGTGGGTTAGATTCTGGCCAATATTCAGACCACTTTTCTGAGGTATTTTTAAGTTCCCTGGAGGCTATTGCTTCATTAAGTAATGTGACACTCCTTATTTTATGTTCCACCATTCGACAGAATACAATACTTTAATTTAAGCTGTTGATATGCTTTAGCATTTCATTAATAAGATTAGAGTTTAAAATGTTCCAGGGCAAACTTTTGAAACTGGGAAAATGGAAAGCAGTTTTACACTGCTAATATTTTAACTGTTTATTTAATTCTGTACCTGTATTCCAAACCTCTTTGTTGTTGAAAAGATCACATTTTTCATTAACAAACAATATTCTCTTCAGTTGATAGTTTTAAGCACACATTATTGATTTTTCCTTACTTTTGTTTAGTTCACAAAGGGTAGAACCCATACTACAGAATTCAAAATAAACCACTCACTGACAGAATAACATGATAGGAAGTAGTAAGAGAGGCTTTCACTATACTTGGGCCTACTTAACTCACTTAAAAAGATTTTCTATGGCACAAAAACAGACACATAGACCAATGGAATAGAATAGAAACCCCAGAACTAGGCCCACAAACGTATGGCCAACTCATCTTTTACAAAGCAGGAAAGAACATCCAATGGAAAAAAGACAGTCTCTTTAACAAATGGTGCTGGGAGAACTGGACAGCAACATGCAGAAGGTTGAAACTAGACCACTTTCTCACACCATTCACAAAAATAAACTCAAAATGGATAAAGGACCTGAATGTGAGACAGGAAACCATCAAAACCTTAGAGGAGAAAGCAGGAAAAGACCTCTCTGACCTCAGCTGTAGCAATCTCTTACTCGACACATCCCCAAAGGCAAGGGAATTAAAAGCAAAAGTGAATTACTGGGACCTTATGAAGATAAAAAGCTTCTGCA